GTTTTATTTTTGTTTTTCAACTTTTATTGCCTACTTTTGCATAAACACAGTGATTTACTCTGTAGTGAAACATTGGAAAAGCACTGTGTTTTTCAATATTTTAAATAAAGCAGGCTGAATATTTCAAATACCAAGTTGTGTCTCGTGCTTTTCAATTAATTGATGTTTTAGTCAATATTTTTCTGTCAATTCAATTTCTGATTAGTTACTTGAGTGTTCAAAATTTGAGCTTCTTTGCATGGACAATAGGTCACATGATATATTTATACTGCATGATTGGATGGAGTAAATCTTTAGCAGATGTCCATTTCAAGTACTTAAAATTTTGATTTCAAAATTTTTTTGCTAGAAATATTCTGCAAGATCTGATTAATATTTGCTGTTTGAGGCAAGTTTCTTGCTAGTAAAACTCATTCACTAGAATATTCACAAAAAAGAAACACAACTAAGTAAGATTGTAGCAGATCTAAAAATCTGAATGAATATTTTTAAAGGTTTGCAGTGTATATGTAGCAAAAAAATGTCATAGTTAAGCATTAAGCCATGGGGGGGAAATTATATGACATAAAAAGAAACAGACAAAATACTTTTATTTTCTTTGCTTCTTCAGATTAGATAGAATATAAAAATCCAGTAGATTTTGCAAAGTGTATTCTAATTTCTGTAAAGCCTTTAAAAAACCTTTAAAAAAAAAGAGGCCAAAACTGTGGCCTTTAATTTCTTGACACTACGCCTTAAACCCTCTTGCCAGAATGCATGCATATAACTGGAATGGACTTTTACTTTCATATGTCCCCTTTAATAAAGTAAGCTGTGTGAATTCAAGACTAACTCTGTTGTCAGAGAGCTAGTATAAATAATCTGTTATAACTTGATTTCTTTTTCCCAAACTGATGCTGTTTCTCCAATAGTGACAGTGTATATAACCTATTCATTTTCAAGCCATAACCCAGTATTTCATTGCTGCTATACATACATTAACATAGCTATCAGGTTTAAACATACTGAACAGCCTTTTACTTTTAAAAGTATATGAGAATCTGGAAAAGATGCAAAGATAGTAAACATTAATGAAACCCACTAATATCCCAGTGATTAAGCACCAAATTTATATAACTTTTTATTAACTTTAAATCCAATTTTTTTTAGAAATAAAATAAACTCAAGTTCCAAATTAACATTAATATGAGTCACAAATGGTTGCAAATTCCCTAGAAACAATGACCTCACTAAATTTAATTAAATTCTGTAGGCTTGGAGTGTTCTAACTACTGTAGAGTATTTGTCCCATCTTTGATGTGTCTTGGAGAGTGTCGTTTTTGTTTAATCTCCTTTGGCATTATTTGAATTGCTTCAGAATTTCCATTTCATGAGGCAAATTTTCTTTGGCTTACAACTGAGCCAGTGAGCATTGAGCGATGTCACTTTTTTTTTTTTTTTATTGCACACTGTAGGGAGCAACAGAGGGTCCTGTGGCACCTTTGAGACTAACAGAAGTATTGGGAGCATAAGCTTTCGTGGGTAAGAACCTCATTTCTTCAGATGCAAGGGAAGAAGTGCATCTGAAGAAATGAGGTTCTTACCC